TAAGGCTCACGAGACGGAGCGTGTCCTTTTACGTGTCGGAAGTATGGTATTCGGCCGGCGTCTGTTCACCGGGACGATGAACGAGAGGACGTTCGTGGTCCGTAATCAAACCAAGTCAGAGCCAGACACGTCTGAGGAAGGCAAAAGCAACGGCATCCCTGGGCCGAGCTACGATTCCTAGACTATGAGCTGGGAGCTGGAGACGACGAGATCATTGTATTTCGGGTTGCAGCCCTGCGCCTGGCCTAGGCCATGCCATCTGGGAGGTGACGTTGATCCGTTGGACATCAGTGCACCACAGGAGACCCTACCAGGTTCGGCTCTGGAAACTGAAGGTTGGCGTATTTGACTGCACCCAAATTTTTGTCAATACAAGAATTGATGATGCCACGACCAGCCTGCCATGAGATCGATCCAGTAGCCCGAGCAGATTCGATCGCCCTGGCAATAGGATTAGTCCAGAGACCGTAGATGGTAGTCAGTCATGGGCTGCCTTCCTCAACTGAGCCGCCGGCGTCATCAACCCGCGGCCAGCGTCACAACATCTGGTGAAGACCGCAGAAGTTGTGGATCAGGCTTGCAACGCCTCACAACAGGGCGCCAGCACTATCACCAATATCGTTGCGTCGGCAGAAGGCATCAGCAGGACTGACATTCCTTGGGGAAAGCACATATTCGAGTCCTTCAACAGAACACCTGGTCGAAATTGACTTTCGCCTGAGAGGCGCCGGCGATCTCCGGCATCGTTGCCGAGACGTGCGACCCAGATATCGAGAGCGAACAGCAAGCTCTGTCAGGCCGTCACATTCAGTCGACAAGCCCGTCTCCCACACTCAGTCAATTGAAAAGCGACCTCAACCTAGATGACAAGCCTAGGCGCCGAGATGGGATGGAACGCACATTTGACTGGGTCCCCGGTTCGAGAGAGACGAAGGCGTCGTTGATTACTGTCCGGAAGACCTGGGAACTGCCCCCCCCCCCGAACCTCCACAGAACAAGGACCCTACCGTTCTGACACCATGAAGCATCAAGAAACAGGCTTTTGTCCTCGTCTCCGATACTGCGGGACTCTACCTCGTACCCTGCGCTTCGAGAGAAGCCGGGAACATGCGAGCAGGACGGGAGGATGTGTCGACAGAGGCCGCGGAATAGCGGTGAAGGCCCACTCCCTCTGCCCCTGCACTCGCCATGCCTCCACCGAGGTGTGAAGGATCGGCATCAAGTTCCGCCAGCCATATTTGCCGCCCGAGGAAGAGCCTGAGCCTCCTTTCGACAGACGCGTTGGGGTTTCCAGGCTGGAACGCCCAATATCGGTCCTGACGCCGATGCTCATGCTCATGCTGATACTGATGCAGCAGACCGACTCGCCAGTGAGCGACCTGGACTGGAGATTGCTCGAGCGAGGACTTCATACTGCGTGCACCGGCTCAAGAACCCTGTCGGCTCGAGCTTGCAGAAAAACCACCAACGTCTTTCACCGATCTAGCCGCTTGAAGCCGTTCCCAGGCAGGGCAAAACCAGCAGATGCCTCAGTCGTGCTACGCATCACCATGGCTCTCCCGTCGGGCAACACTCTGCAAGACAACAGATCGAGCAAGAGTCCGGAGAGCCAGAGGTTTCTAACCCAAGACGTGTGCCACCGAACGAGCTCGTTGCCTGTGCCTCTACAGAGTAAGGTCAAGATGTGGCTCTCGCTACGTAGTTAGTCTTGCACACCAGGATCGGGGAGCTTTAGCTTCCACGCATGCACGCCCGCAGCCAGCCACGGCTGGAGCCTTACCATTGATCGGCGGTGTGGATGCTTAGGACGAGGGTTGGTAACTCAAAAGACACAAACCACTGCATGCACAGGGCACCCCCTGTTGGTGAACAGCCATCCTCCCTTGTGGGTCGTCACATGCATACTGTGTGTCTTCTTCAGTCACTTGAGACCAGATGCTAGGTACGCGTCGGTGTGTTGCAACTTGTCTTGGTGTGCGTCCAGACTCTCCTCTTACCACAGGCTGTATCACCGAGCACAGCGAAACTCAATGGCGTGCTCAGCCCGAGCCCGGAATCGATCGAGGGTGGCTTTCTGGACGAGGGCAGAACCCCGTAGGCACTCTCTTGCGCCCTAGCCACGACCGAGCTCGACGGGAAACTGTCTTCCAAGCATCAAGTACTTTTGGCGAAGCTCTCCTCCCACTTCTGATCCCGACCGGGTTGCTTCGGTCCATCTATGACGCTTCGTACGATCCCTCTGCCATCTTAGAGAGTGCTTCCACCTCAAGTCAGGCCAGTGCACGGCTCGAGGCGCATTGTCACAGCACGTTACGTCTGTGACTTCAAGCACCCAGTCTCCACCAGGGTATGAACTATCTAGGCCGCCCCTTACGGCTCGTTGGTCGCCACGGTCAAGCATTGACAGCCCAACCTCTGGTTACCGCCTCCAGTGGATGCTTGAGGACAATGGCCCTGTCATGGTCTCTAAGAACCCTGAGTGGGCAATTCGCAATTAGCCATTCCAGGAGTGCTCGGCAAGCCCGTCAGTAATGTCCAGGATTAGGCTTGTTCTTGTTCCCTCCCAGCAGATCCATGCCTCTTCGTAGCTCCAGAGCAATGCTTCTTGCCCGCGAACAGAAGTGCTGATCAGGTGGCACAGATCCCAAGGTGCAGGATGTTTGCTATATGAGACGGCTCAGAGCATGAAGACCAACCGGCAACCGCATCCACCACTGACTCATTCACTCCTTGAAGCCGTTGATGGCAAAGTCTGGGATCTGGATAGGCATTGGACCGCGTGGAGGGCACAGAACCCTGTTAGCGGCACTGCGTCCTCTGCTCAGGGATCAGGCACTGTGCAGCGCTCGCAAGGGTTATGACCCCCTCCAACTCCCGTGACGATCAGGCCGATTCACCGTTAAGCATCCCTGTCGCCTCCATTTGATGCCTGATTGCCGACCAACAAACGCCAGATTCCCAGGACAATCTTTCTATCCCCGTCGCACTACCGGACAGATCAGATACTCAACATTTCAAGAAAAGGGAAACCCATGGACCACTCTGCCCGGTCATGAACACCCATGCCCCATCGTTCAGCTTCTTGTTCGTGATATCCATCGAGAGACAGAGGCTTATATCGGTCAATCCTATATCAAGTCATGGCTTCTGATTAGCCTCGTTCGTCTCTCGCTCGCCTTATTTAGCTACTTGATAGTCACTTAGTCAGTCTGGTTGGTCCACGAAATTCGTATTCTTCTTCCCCCACGCGACACGCGACAACATAAGATTTCGTTACGAATTGTCTGTGCATGGCGCTGCGTATCAACCTTGGATGATTGCAAAAGCCCGCGGCGTCCATCGATCGTAGATCGTCATACCCGTCTTCCGATTCCTGTGTAGCTCCCTGCTACCTAGCGACGACTGTATTACACAGCATTGCCGTGCACACTCCAAGACGCGGACCAAGCTTCGTGTGACCACGGGCAGACTATTACAGGACCACTATCCTAGAAGCGGACTGTGTAGGAATTCGAGATCCGGCGCAGTGGGGCTCAAGCTCGCGCCCGTGAGGACGCCGTTCCCCCGTCCGAGTCATCGAAGGCGGGAAGTGGACGCCACGCCATTGCAGATACGGGAGGTGTGATTTAGGCGGCGAGGCGCCCAGTCGAGTCGAGCGTTTTCACCTCGAGGTCGCTGCCCAAGGGTGGTCTAGAACATGAAGTCGCGGATGATCATGCGACTTGCCAGTTGCAGAGCCGCATGAGTAAATGGGCGGACGAATGGGGCGAGGGAGTCGGTTATGGAATTTCGCGTATCCGTGTCTTAACGTGGATGGACTTGGCCAAATCGTGCCTTCCTCCTCGGTGAGAGGCGGTGGACGGCAAGTGGGCCGCGAGTCACCGAGCAAAGAGCAAGAATGCGAGGGGAAGGGAGAAGGGAGTTGAGCTTTTAGATTGAAACAAGCCAGAGGATATGCATTGAGGGGCTGAAGAGCTCGACTTCACCTCGTCCGATCGAGGTGGTGCATACTAGCGCAGGTATAGGTGAGCTGTCTGTCTTCACTTCTCAGTTAGATCCGACGTAAGAGAGTCGGTGGTCGTGCATGAAATGCACTTTCACGCGTGGCTGCTTCACGCCACCATTGCTCTGGCTTCCCAGGACTTACTCCCTGTTGGTCGACGGAGACGCCAGAAGCTGGCGGCATTCTCGACTGGACCGTAAGCGTTGCACCAGCAGGCGTGCGTTTGAGACGGACGCTTGGTGCTTGTGAAGAAGGGTCAATCGCCGACACTCACCCTGTCGTTGATGGGTTCTCCCCCAGCCGCGTCCACCTGCATGCGCAGGATCTACAGTCGTTCTTACCGTTGCGAATACCTCCGGCTGCAGCTCATCCTCACGTATAATCAAGGGTCGATCATGACCTGACCTGACCCTCACCAGAACCTCACCCGAACCTCACCGGGACCTCACCACCAAATGACCTCTACTACCGCATTGAAGATTCCATGTGCCCAAGCTACCCTATGCATTCTGTTTGGCGTGCCACTGTGATTCATCCTTCCTGCCCAGGGTTGGTGGTCGTGCCTATTCCCTCTTAGAACATCAATGGTGGGTGCCCCTATCTAGCCGCCTGCCGTCACTTTAAGATGAGGGCACTAAGGTAAGTCGATTCCAACGTGCAAGTTTCCCACCACCTGACACAACCGAATCTCCTTTCCCCTCCATCTCACCCGCCGGTGCCCAAGCCAACCCTAAACCACTTGCATGAAATCAATGCTTTTGTTTCTGGTTTCGAAGACGTAAGGAGATGTAGTGAGCATGAGATAGAGTGCATGTTGGTGCCCAATGTCTCGTTTGTCGAGGTGTCGAAGGAAAGTCGTAAAAGTACAATTTCAGGTTGTGTCGAATGAAACGTGCAGAAACAGTATCCGTGCCTCACTTTTCCGTGTTATTGCGCAGCTGGTGGATAAGGAAGGCAGGGTTGAGACGCGTCGCTATTTTGTTGGCGAGGCAATATCTCACATCATCTGGTCTTGAGTCATGTCACCTGTTGCCTCTTGACCCTCCATAGGCTCGTTGCCATTGGCGTTGGTGTATTTGACGTAGCTCAATCCGAGGGGCCGGCCACCGTACATGTAGCCTGTGAACTTTGCTATGAAGTGTTAGCATGAGTCTGTCGCCCAGGGTGCGAAGGAACATACAGATGGCTGTTTCAGCGTTCTCAGCAGTGTCAAATTCGACGACACCAGATCCGCGCGACCGCCCACCTGGCTCGTACTGGATCTCCGCGCGTTCGACTTTGCCAATCGTGGTGAACAATTCGACCAAGTCCTCGTTGCTGGTGGACCAAGGGAGCTGTATCGCTGTCAGCGTGCTGGCACTGTACGATGCAGAAGAGGCTACTCACATTCCGGACGTAGATAGTCTGGCTGCGCTCGCCTCCGGTAGTCGCGAAGTCGGTGAAAGGGTTGGGAGCCGCTTGCTCTTGAGCTGCTCCTCCACCGTAACCAGCGCCTCCGCCTCCACCGGCATAACCACCACCGGCGGCATAGCCGCCTCCTCGACCATAGCCGCCACTATAACCTCCACGGCCTCCAAAGCCTCCTCTACCACCACCGAAACCGCCGCGGGCGCCGTACCCTCCTCCAAAGCCGCCGCGTGCACCGTAGCCGCCCATGGGAGGCCCGCTGCTTGCGTAGCGATCTTCTCGGACTTCAAGGGCGCGGCCATGCCAATCGTAACCATTGAATTGCTGGATTGCGTTTCGGGCATCGTTAGGAGATTCGAATGCCACAATGCCGGTGCCCTTGGGACGGCCGGTAGGATCAACGTGGACGTCGGCTCGAATGACGGTTCCTTCTTGAGCTGTGAAATGTAAGACATCAAGTCAGCTCATCAAGAAAAGAGCAGACATACCAGCTTGGCGGAAGAGGTCCTTCAGATCCTGCCACCCGACATTGAAAGGGAGCTGCAAATTCCATGTCAACACATCTTTGAAACCAGAGGGATTTGAAGGAATGAGGAACAGACATTGGAAACATAAAGTTGCCGACCGCCACCACCGCCGGCGCCCATACCGCCGGCATAGTGACCACCACCGTAGCCACCAAAGCCACCGCCTCCGCGGGGCCCGCCGCCGTAGTCGCCGCGACCACCCGGTGGGCCGGTGAATCGTGGCTCGGTTTCGCGGTCCTAGTAGAGAAAACCTGCGGTTAGTCGTGGCCAGAAATGTTGTTGGCCGAAAAGAGAATGCGCACCTCTCGAACGTAGACAAGGCGACCCATCAAGCTCTGATTGCTGAGAGTCTGAATGGCTTGTTGGGCTTGTTCCCTAGTTGCGTATTCCACAATCCTGGCATTTAGTTAGAAAAGGGCGCCAGCTGGCAAGATCGGCTGAGAATGCGACTCACCCGCATCCCTACATAACCCGTGGACCAGGTCCAACCCGTCAATCCAACGTCCAAACAGAAACAAACCAGAAAAGGAAGACCAGTAGAACCAGCCGCATCACACAATGGCGCCCACCTTCGACATTCCATTCGGAAGAAGCAAGACATCAGCAAAGAGAACTTCTCCCGCTGTTTCAGAGTCAGTCATGTCTCAAGGCAGGAGCGAGTGACGAGAAACTGACCTTGTCTCATGAAATCTTTGAGGTGATGCCATTTGACGTCGTACGCCAAATTGCCCACATAGACCCGACGGTCTTGTTGAGATGACTCGCGCACTGACTGCATCATTTGTTCTTTCGCCGCCGCTCGTTCTTCGAATGTTCTCTGCGGTGGTCGACCTCCACCAGCGAAGCCCGAACCTCCTGAATGTCCTCCAGATGCGTTGGCTGCACCGCTCATGGGACTCCGAGACCGACGTTCGCTGCGGCGGTATTCGTCACCTCTGCTGCGAGAACGGCTACGGGGAGAGTAGGAGCGTCGGCTTCGTCGTGGACTCCGTGATCGGCGACGAGGCGATCGAGATCGGTCTGATCGGTCCCTCTGCAAATGATGGTCAGAAACCTGCCGGGCAAGAGTGATCATAACGTGTGAGCGAGATGAGGTTGCGGCTGAGGTCGAATTTAAAGGGCTGCGCAGGTGAGTGCGAGATTCAGTGACACGTGCAAGTGATACAGCACGCTACTGTGGTGCCGCAGTGAATAGACAATGAGGTGGTCCGGTCTCCTTGATTCGCCTTCCGCCTCACGCACAGGGACATAAGGCGCAAGTGGACCCCAGGCCGATTGGGAATGGTCGGAGTGAGGTTGGTCACATCTTCACCTCCAATCTCGGTGGATGCGAAACTCGATATGTGCGCGGGACAGGAAATTGTGTCACTTACTATAAGTCAATGAGTTAGCGAACTGACTGGCGCAGCCAGAGCTGTGGAAGTGGAAGAAAAGAGACGGTGAAGGGATGGGGTTGGGCAGGGAGGTTTGATGCAATCGAAGTTGGGACCGGGCACATGTAGGCAGGGCAAGGAATGATCGGGCAGGTCAATGCCAGAAGGGCTAGACTGGGACACCGAGGTGAACAAAGCAGAGAAACGCACCCATGATTATCGATTGCCGAGAGGTCGTGCGGCGGGTTTTGCTCTGTTGACTCTACTGAGATCAGGATCGTATGCACGAGAATGCAGGAAGGGAGGGGGGAGGGAAGAGACCAGCTAACGAGTTTCCCGAGTGGCACAAGGGCTGTCTGAACTGTCGGCAGAGAACGCGCGCAGCTCGTTTTGTCCGTGTGGAGCGGCTTCTCTGGACCTGGCGACAGGGCTCCGGGGAATCAAAAGATAGGATTCCTGACACGCGCGGAAACAGCGAAACCCGAATCTGACAGAGCCTCAGGGCGGCGCGTCTTTGGACCGAGTTGTTCGCGGGTACGTGCCCAGGTGTTCCTTCTGTGCTGGGTAAAATTTTCTTGCTAGCAAAACGGAAGTTGAATCGAGGCAGCAAGGAGCCCAGTCCGGGTCTGGCGGGGCGAAAAAGAACGAGTTTTGGAGTGGAGTCTCCGAGTCATGCAATACACTCCGGGCGCGATGCTGTACGCGGGAGATAAGGTGTGATTGGCCGCGATATGGTGTCTGCTGGATCGTGGTGTTGACTCCTAAGGCAGGTGAAGCTGTAAATGGAAACCTCTGCCATCACACGGTCAGTCAGCAACATGTTCTTTCAATACTCCTATTCGTCATGCGCTCGTCGCGCATCCATCACATTAAGACTCCACAGTCTCTGAGGACGATTTCGCCGACGCAGCCTCCACTTTCCAGGGTGCCTGTGACATTCCATCTCTTTTTGTCTGTCTCCAAGCAAGGGAGAGGTGAGTGACCAACCAGAGATCGGCCACAAAGCGCGCAAATGGCTCGTGTCAGGGCTGTCAGGGCAGGGTCCGTTCGGAACGGTGCCCAATGGGGACTGCTGTCACGATAATACAGTCGATCGAGTAAGCCTGCAAGCCAGCTGTCTGGGGCCTAATGCGAGGACGGGTGCGGCTGGGTGAGCAGCACGGCAGACTCGGGCCACGGAGGAAGGTTAGGGAGGGTCAGGTAAGGGAAAGGTTCCGATGGATTCACGGCAGCTATAGACGCAGGAGGCAGCAAGATGGATGCAAGGTGTTGATGGCGAGAGATGGCTTGTGGATGGGCGCAGCACAGAGTGTGACGGCAAAACAAGCGAAGGCACGATGTCTGAGTGGGCCACTGGCCTTGGCGCTAACACCACATTTGAGCTGCTTGAATTCCCCTGTTCCTGTCACCCAGACTTGGACTGTCAAGCTGATATGTGCTGCATAGTTCACGAGCCTGCTGAGGCTGTAATGGATAGTCTAAAACTCTCGGTGCGCCTATAAGCCAATGGAAGGTGCGAGTAGAGCCACTGTTGCTGCCGGGCAAGAAATGGGTTCCTCGATTCCAGTGCCAGGAAAGGGCCTCTCCAGCATAAGCTCTTCCTCCGCGTCCGCTTCTGCCTGGCGCTTCCCTTGCAACCCTCTCAGACTGTGGCTCTGCACCTCCTGCAAGCTAATCCTGCGTCCTTTGTGCTGCCCCTGCACAAGACTCTCCCGGGTGGCGCCTGAGAGCCATTCGCATTGTCACCAAGGGTGACCGTTAACGGAGACTTGAGTTTTGGAGCATTGCCTGCTCGATTTACTCGGAACTAGTGGTCTACGCGAGCAGATAATTACGTATCTTCGAGACGAAGGCTTTCTCCAGCTTTGGACTTCGCTCGGCTGCGACACGGCTGCTTGTCGCCCCGCCTACCCGCACACTTTTGACATCGGGATCTCTAGGTTTCCCATATGTCCGCTGAACAGACACTCAAGAACGATCTGCTGTTCACCAGCGAGACGCCAGACCCTGACGCGTGGGAATAGTGTATTGGGGGCGAACTTCATATCGTTCGAGAACACGCGTTCTGAACCTCGTCGATATGCGGCACTCTAATCTTTCATGCATGAAGCTGATCCAGATTGAGCCGGACACTTGGCACACACTGTCTAGGGTTGACGGCTCGCGAACGATAAGATCGGCATCCCGCGGCGCTATACGAGGGACTGTAGCTGGGCGTGAAAACGTCCCACCCGTCACCATCGCCTGTTCGCCGTTCACTGCGACCGGGTTGTTGCTGGCTCCTGTGTCCTGCTAAGGACTGGTGTTAACATGCACTATCCTCTATTCACACCCAGCCCCTGCGAAGTTATCGGCCCGTTGTGTGCGATGAACCAACGATAAAGCCGAACACGCCGGCGCCATGTTGCGGCTAGGTGCACCGGAAGCTCTAACACATGCATCTCGCAAAGTCTAAGCACATTTGGGGCCTGCCTCTCAGGTGAGGAGCAGCAAGCCACCGCGGCGGCAACGTCAATAATTGGCTCACAGGCTCGATGCCCAGTCAAATCGGCATGAAGCAGAAGCGCGGATAAACGGAGCCCAAGAGCGTGCGGCTGCGGAGCTGGGCTTGGACGATCCACCGGCTCTCTGCTTCCGCGTCAACCGCAAACAACCATCTTTCAACATCGCTCCTATGAACGCCGATTATTGCGCCACTCTTGACATACATTCCTGCTGCTCCATGCATCCAGGACTCGGTATGGTGTCTGAAAACAGGCTGGCGCAACGTGGGACTGACGCAAAAGCGCAGGATCCACACTGTGGTCTTTCAGAGAGTGTCTCTCACTGTTGTGCATGGTTGGCCCTTTTCCCAAAACGACTCCCAGGAAGCTTGGAGTTGTGGGAATTCTAGCCCGTAGGTACGGAGTACTCGTACTGTGTAGAAATCCGAGTTATATACAGAACCCCGTATGATGCAATGTAACCGCGGGACAATTTTGATCTGGGTCACATCCTCCCCACATCCTGTGACGCTGCCGAAGTGGACGTTGCCTTGCGGCCTGAGTACGGCCAACTTCCTCGGCATCTTGGTCCGGCTAAACACCGCGTATTCTAGCACACTGGGCTCAACCCACACGTGCTGCACGCGGATTGAACATCCTCCAAGTACTCCGTAATCTTCTAGAACTGGCACCGCTCCTTGCTCGTACTCGTGCTCGTAGCGACTGGGAATTGCATTCTTCTGATACGCCTTGGCTGGATGAAGATGCGATCCGATCAGCTAGTTACGCGGGCTGCCGCGTCAGAGAGGAGAGGGACGTTCAGTGGTCAGGCTGAGTGTGACGGATGCATCTTTCCCACCATCATCATGTCTAGGAGTACTACCATATATCTTGTAGCGTAGGTCTTACTATCCGCTTCTGGGCAATGTCCGGCTGGCTAGCCGTCTGACACAAAAAGACCATGATAAGAGCTAAAGTTGGTGTCTAAGTAGCTCTGGGATCGTTCAAGCAGTCGCGGCAAGTCCAGCAAGGTCAACCCAGTCACTGGAGCCCGGCGCTGCAGCCAATGAGGTTGTGTCTATGCCAAGCCTTGCGAGGCTGGAGAAATTCCCGAGTCCTGCGGGACTGCGTCTGCGACCTCCAGTAGAAAGGGATCATCCAACATTCTCGCCTGGCTGACCAAACGATCAAGCGCTTCGTAATTAGCTTCGTGTCTTCGCGGACGGCTGCAGATGTCGTGCATTTTCACACGCAGTAGGAACCACGCACAGCACATCTGAATCGCCAGTTTCAATTGCTGTCCCCCGTCCGACGACTCCGCCCTTGCCTAAACCGCTTGCACTTCCGTTGTGAGAGCTCATACCATAGCATACCCTCTCGCCCCGATCAAGTCAGGCTTCGATCATGTCTGTTGCTTGCGCGCCAGGCATGGCACTCACTAACGCTTTACGGGCTCGTTCAGTGACGACGAGTAAGCCATGGCGATTTGCAAACACGGTCTCTACATACCAGCTCAAACGAACATACTTCTCGATACATCACCCAGATCCTCCACCTTTCGCCAAAACCCAAGACAGAATCCTCTCTGCGGCTATCGAACGCGTTCCAGAACATGGCTTCACACAAAGAGCAATGACATTGGGAGCTAAGGACGCGGGATACCTTGATGTGACAGTCCAGCTGTTTCCTCGTCGCGTGTTCGACCTGATCAACTATCATCTTGTCACACAAAGACTCCTACTGAAGGAGACTGTACAATTCCCAGAAGGAGGCAGATTGGGCATGGGTGGGAAGGTCCGGACGCTTGCCATGGCACGTCTGAGAGCCAATGCAGACATCATCCAGCATTGGAAAGGGGTAAGCGATACGCCGGCTACTCACTTGGCCGCGGAATTGACAAGCTTTGCAACAGGCTCTGGGCCACATGTCCCTCCTCGAAAACATCCCGGCCTCTATGAAAGAGCTCAATGCTCTCTCCGACGAAATCTGGTACCTCGCTGGCGACACAGCTGTCGACTCCTCCTGGTACACGAAAAGAGCCTCACTCGCAGCGGTCTATGCCAGCTCGGAGATGTTTATGACGACAGACACCTCCAGTGATTTTGTTGCAACAGAAGAATTCCTGGATCGCAGGCTGAAAGATGCGCAGATTTTGGGAGGCATGGCAGGAGGATTTTCGCAATACATCGGCTTTTGGACTGGCAACAGTGTCAATCTGGCCCGATCCTGGGGCATCAGAGTGTGAAAGACGACGCCCAATTCACATGAGCGAGAGATTGACCAGACACGGAGCAACACCCGTCTTCGTGGTATCGTTCTTCTGTCCCGGAATCCAGCCGGAGATCAGATGTCTCGTTTATCCTCGACCATTCAAGGTGTTAGGCGAAGATTCACCTGCACTAGATCGGAGGCGTCTCAGAGGATTGTGCCATCGATTCACCAGAAAACAAGCGAAGCCAAAGGTTTCCTTGTTCCGACCACCTTACCTTTCTGACCTCACTTTTCGCCACCCTGCACTTTCGAAGCTGAGGTCACATTCCTCAAATCTCAATCCTTGCCCTGTGGTGTTTGGAACGAAAGCCCTGGCTGGAATGCATCCTGTCTTGTATGCGCGAGAAGTTCAAGCTGGATCGCTGTCCAAAGAGGGCAAAGTCGGTTGCTGTAGGTGGAGATGAAATTCATCAGCAGTATGCCAGGCAGAGCAGACAACGTCGCACTGGCGTGTACAAAATGCGGCTTGCGATTCCAGATGTCCAGAGTCCCTCGCTTCAAGCCGTGACGGCCGAGAGGGCAATTGCCAGGACCTGCATCCGCAGAATGCAGCGAATTGCCCCGATCCTCTCTTCGGCGGAGCATTGATGGATGGCAGAAAAGGCCAACAGCAACTGCAGCAAGTTCTTGTGGGTCCCCTTCACACGCTGACATGCGAGGCGACACGGCAATCATATCCTCTCGAGAGGAACACTGTACTCACCGGATTCCGCCAGTTTATGAAAACGTAGCAAATCCACATCCCACCGCCCTGAAGCATCAGCCTTGACGCTTGTGCAATGCCCCCCCGGGCGTGCTTTTGTTAGCAATAGTCAACCTCACCCAAGAATTTGCTTTCAAGATTGTTAATATGAGCCAGCCCAGGACCATGTGCCTCAGGCGCTCAGGTAATCCTGCTCGTCGTCATGACGAAACCCACCTGGCCATTTGGTGGAAGCTTTTTCGCTGGTGAAACCCCCCGTGGCATCTACACTCCCGTCGCGAAAGCAAGCTTCCGTCAGTCAACCGGGGTGGGGTTGTTACAATATTGGAGAAGGCAAGATATCAGAGGGATTTGCTGGTGGTGAACTGCCCATTACTAGACGGGCTCTTCAATTTGAAGAGTGCTTTGACCTGGCGCTGCTGTTGGGGGGGGGGGGGGGGATGATTCTGGAGCAAGAGAATGCCAACGGTGGGTGGATAGAACGAGCAACGACAGGGATGTGATGGTTTTGATGGTTAGCGAGCTGTCGATGGCGGGCCTTTTGGAACCAGAGCGGGCACTCGAGAATCAACAGGCTGCATACCCGCTCCGAACAACCATGTCCTGGTCGAGAGAACTTTCGGAGACGTATATGGGGTGATGAGTATATGTTGGCCACCGCCATGAGAAGGTACATAACGGGCAAACCACGGGGTTTTCTGTGAGTGGTGACCTCTGTCCTTGGCTGTGAGACTGGTAGCTATGGAGTGCCGGCTTGCCTGTGACTGCACCCTGAGGGTCTTATCCTCCGCCATGGCTACTGTTCCGACACCGAAGAGCTGGCCTTCATTTAGTCAAGGCTAGAGCGACTGAAGGTGGGGGGCTCATCGTTACACAGGAGGCGCGTTGGCCGATGCTTGCAGCTACAGTTGATGGCCTTCTAGCTTTGTCTGCGGTGGTCCAGGCACTGTCACTGTAGCTAGTATCTTTCATCATGCAAGTAGACTGCTACACGCACAATCCATCGTGGCTGCATGCTTCGTCGTGCAGGTGAAAGAAGCCTGACCAATTGCTTCGTCCAAGCCAAGAAAGGATGAGCCAAACTCGCAGGGCCTTTTGGTTGAACACTTGTACTCTCATGCATCCAGCCGGCCGCTCTGCACGCTGAAGAGGACATCCAATCGCCTCGGATGGGCAGCAAGCAATCGTCGACCTTTGCTTTTGGCTTCAGCCAGCAGCCTTCGCTTCGGGTGGCTATGTACGTGTGGCCAAGGACAGGTGTTGATCACTCCGGTTAGCGTGATGATCCAATGTGCCGCATGAGGCTCAGATCTTCCCATACGATCGGATGTTGCTTAGGGACGCATCAGCAAGGCTACGAACTAGCGAGGACGGATGATCTCCCACTGAGCGTCCACGCGCCTGGATACTTTGCCTGCTCTCCGGCCGGATGCTCGTATACTCAGAAGCAAAACAGCCAATTGCAAGCAAAGTAATATGGAATAGGCAACGCCCTCGCTGGGAAATTACCGTATCGGGCAGTCGTGATCCGAGCAAGGGGATTTTCAGGTATCATACAAGCAGCACGCATCCATAGAAACCCAGCCCAAGCGAGGGGATGGAGGTTTTCGTGCAGAGCGATGGAAAACTCGTCGCATCCGCCACACTGATTGACGCGCATCCCCTTGACGCATAGTTCAATTTCATCAGCTTCCATACAGGGAAACTCAGCTTTACTGACAGACGAGGCGCGAAGAGGCCCCAGTTTACTTGCTCGGCTCAGACGCGACCAGGATGACCGAATTATAAAGCTGGCGACCCTCCCTGGCATCCTTCATGAGTTACTGTTGTTTGTGAAATGCAATGCGACCCCCTCGGACTGCCGAAGTGTTCAGTATGACCAGGTGCGCTGTCGATAGATACAGTAGATCGCAATCCTTCTCACCACGCCAGCCATGCCGTCCAGCTCGAACCAAACCTCATCGGATACTGCTCCACACACAGCTGTACGTAATTAACCTCGTCGCATCTGCCGTGACTGAGAGCTCAGACACGATGACCCGAACTGACCACTGCCAATTCAAGGCCGTTCCAGGGACCTCCCACAATCAGAAGCATACAGTCGGTCATGCCAAAGGGTGCATATACCATGACCTCATTCTCCGCTTGGAGCTTCCAAGCAAGGACAGCGAAGGAGTCGTGGGAATCGAAAGATTCTTGAAGGAGGGTCCGTGCGAGCAATACGCCCTCTTCGCACGTCCAGATACCGGTGCTCTGTCGGTCGCGAAGGTCTGCACCTGCAGCATTGAGCCTGCCGAGTCAGCCAGCCTTGCCAGTCGTTTGTGACTGAGAGACTGAAGTACTGTATCAGCTTTCTTGGGAATCTGCGTGCAATGGGAAATGTATTGTAAAGATCTCAATAAACGCTAGCAGCACGAGGCAAGTCTGCCGGAAGCCAAGCTTTTGGTAGCTTGTACGACACAGTACGGAGTAACTCCGTACGTCCGTACGTCCGTACTCGATGCTTCGTATCTCGTACACTTTCTACTACTGAAGCAACTAGCACTGGCATGTCGACGACCCCCAGCGCTTCTCAAATTCATCCACCAGAGGACTGCGTTCTTTCTCGAAACCTGCGAGTAAATTTCCTGGTTGGTGGCTCCAGGTGGTGAAGCAGTCCTGTTTCCTAAAAGCGCGTGTCGTCTTGAGTCTCCCTTCTTGCGATGCTGGCCGTAGCAAGTGGCGAAGAGCGCAAGTGGCCAGGCTGACTGCTCCCATCGCTCTACACTTGCTGGACACGGCTCATGTGATATCAGTAGTATGGAAGCCTCCCCATCAAAAGCCCGCGCTCAGGCCATTGAGTCGCAGTCCTGGTCAATCGTTCTTTCGTGGCTCTCAGACTTGTACCACCCGTCTCCGGTGCCGGCGTTCGAGCGCAATGCCACTACACTGACGGCCTTCCAATCTCTCATGGCCGAGAATGTCGCAGCAGACCGGCTCCAGGAACTGCTCTTCGACGCCAAATGCGAGGAACTCGCGATTTCTCAGCGTAACCGTATGCAGCGAGCGAGAGGTCAAGGGACGACAGGACACAACGCCACTTTGCTTCTTCCCTTGCTCGAAAACTCACTCTCAGGGGCCGGAAAGGACTCATTGGAGTCTCTAGCCCGCTCAGCAGTCCTGCTTGGCTGCTGCTCGCCACCGTCGTCATCACAATCCGAGAGCATCATCGACAGTCTCCCGGCTCGGACCGTGGATCTCTCCCGCCTAACATTCCGTCTCGAAGAGCACGTCTCCTCCGTTGAAACACTCACATCCAATCTGCAAGCCCAAACTACCGAGACACTGCATCACCTGTCCTCCATGCGCGCAAGAGCGGCACAGCTGTCCAACCCAGAAGATACAACAGATTCACGCCCATCGACACCGCCTCACGCGTCGAGCATCGGCCCGACGACGACGGACTACTCGCAGCTCCACGCCCAGACTCTCCAGCATCAGCGCGAAACCAAACAACTGCAGCTGAAGTCGGCGGAGTACAAGGCACGCATCGACGCCCTTGACCGGCAGCTCGCAGCCGCGGAGGGGGCGGCATCATCATCATCGGCCGTAACGAGCACGGCTGCTTTGGTTTCGAAACAACAAGTCCTGGAGGACAAAAGGAAGCGGATCACGACATTGGAAGCACGATTCCGGGGGTTTCATGGACTGCCTCCGGATGTCGATGCCTCAAGGGGCGAAGTCAACAGGCTCCAGGCCGAACTGGAAGCGCTGAAGAGACGGAGGGATGAGCTGTTTGAGCGGATCTAGCACGCGTCAGCCATGTTCTATGGAGAGCATAACTGGGAGAGGATCCGGGACGAGACGAGACGGAATCAGATCGCATAGGGCAAGCAATCAAGCAAGGAAGCAAGCAAGCACTCCATTTTCTCGACCATTGGCTATCAACCATTGCCTGAATGAAGGGCAGCAATGGCTGTCCCTGAGCTGCGCAACAACAACTATACGTACCGCTGCATCGAGCCAAGGGAAGGCGGTAGTAAAGCTTGATGACTCGAGAGTTTTCCGGCTGCGGTACCTACTGGCTCCTCGGTGGTACGACTTGCTCTGTGCTGGGACCAGAGAGTCACAGGACAAATTTCAGCGCGAAGCGAAGGATATATATAGAGGACCGTTTCTGGGAGTTATCGACACGGGCAGAACAGGAGTGCTCTTGCGGAGAGTTTTAAGGGCGAAGGAGGCCCAAATAAGGATCCATCACCACCATAGCAAAACTGCAAGCTACTGGAAAGACAACTCGCTTTCAAGCCGGAAACGTATATACCCTCCTCGAACAAGTGTCGACTACAGTCAGTCACTCTACTTCCCTACCATGCCGTTGGGTTCACTCGGTCTCAGCTCGCAATAAATCTTGGTGGCGCGCTGGCGACAGTTGTCCCCGTAGGGCTTGACCTTCCTCTTGACGCCGTCGACCTCCTCTTCGTCCTCGAGCTCGGCGGTGTTGAATTCGGAGACCACCGTGCTTTTAAAGGGCGGCGGCGGCTCCGACCACACCTTGGTGACCGCGTCGGCGAAGCATTCGATCTGGATGGCTTTGAACCCTTCTTCATGAGCGTGGCGCATCAGGAACTGCGCCAGCGCCTTCATGAGGCCCTTGCCCTCGGCGTCGCGGCGTGTGCTGGTCGCGTTGCGCAGCAGGAGCTGCTTCTCAGCCGTGGGCTTCCAGCTCGCTTCGGGCCGGGGGTCCAGCGTCTCGAGCACGTGGTAGAAGGTGCCGAACAAGGGCAGACACGCGATCAAAGGCATGACGCTCCCCATGTCGAGCGGATTGATGCCGTCGTAGGCCATGGCCACGCTCACGAGCGGGAAGTCCATCTGCGCGAGGAGCTGGTCCGCGTCCAGCGTCGTATCGTGCATGTCCCAGTACAGTTTGCCGTCGGGCTTGGATTCCGCGCGCCTGAACTCGTATTCCAGGTCGAAGACGCCGAAGCTGTGGCCCGACTCAATCTGGTGCCGGATCAGGTACTCGCCGGCTGGGAAGGCCTCGTAGAGCCGCGCCGTCTTGTTTTCCGGATACACTATGGGCCAGACGGGCGAGTAGAATACGTTGGAATGCAGCACAATGGCCCACGCGAAGGGGAGGTGTTCTTCTGTGAGTCTCCGGATCTCATAGCGAGCCGGGAGGTTTGTCGGATTGGTCGGCGTGGCCGCGGATAACTTCGTCATCCTGATCGCGTGTCAGTGGGTAAGTCGCTGCGGTGCTGTCACTTGTGAGAGGATGGATCTGGAATTAATTTGCGGATGAAGGAGTTCTGTGAGCCGATGTCTTGACTCGACCGTTGGCAGGACATGGGACGCCCAGACTCTTTATGCTGTGCTGTGTGCATGTAGTGTTTGCGGCGTCGGTATCGGGTCTGGCTAGGATATCGATCCAAAGGTCATCAGCTTGTTTTAACATGAACGCCTTGCCTTATGAAGGCCGGAACACCGCTAAAGATGTAATGAACCCTGAGGATCCAACGGTCCTGGAAAGCTTGATCAGTCCCCCATTCCATAGACTAAGTGCTGATTGGTGGGCGATTACTGTACGACCTTTGTGTAGGTTGAGGCGATTACTCTGCGCCTGCCTTTTCGAGCGGTAGGTGGGAATCCTGTGTGGAGTAGAATATAAGCTCATAAGCAGGTAAGGGAGATCGTGTACGAGGTATACACAGTATGTCAGCAGGGAAGAAGCACCAGGGTTCATGTCACTTTTTAGGCCTCCAGCCCTTCTGTGAGGGCACTTCGACTCTCAGCCATGGCAAAAGTTGGCAAGACTCCGCTCTACAGAACCTGGAGATAATCCGAAGACGCTCGATGTACTCAACCGGCCAACCGGGTCAGAAGCACAAGCAGCGGTAGACCGACGACTCAGGTCTTATGCAAGGGTGCTGAGATCCGTATCTAGATGGTTGCCGTGACCGGAGAGTCGCAGAGAGAGAACGAATACGCGGCGTCTTGCGTCTGACTTGATAGTCAGAAATGGGAAAGTTATACGGACTTCCGCATTGGGAATCGTGCGCGGTAAACCACACGTGACCACACGTGACCTCACAGTCTATACGGTGGAGCACAACTCGCGTAATTCCATACGGTAGACGGAATACCTCGTGGTGCTTGTTTCACCGTGGACCATTCGACCGTTCAGGACGCTTGCTGCACGACACACAACAACACGCATGCTGGAGGGCCAAATCTTGACCATAGCCTGTTGACTGCAAATGTGAAGGAGATCACATGTCCAAACTCGATACCCAGCATCAGGAAGAAGTGGAGACTGAGGGCGCCCAGTCATCTTCGCGGCAGGATTCACTCAGATGGGGGCATGCCGAGCACAATGTGCCCGCCGGAGATGCTGTCTTCGACCAGGTTGAGCAATTCGCTGACCTTTATGGATTGACTGAGCATGTTAAGGTGCTGCGCAAAGCTGCAGTGCTTGTACAGGGTGAAGCGTCGCTAGCCGATATCGACCTCAGCGGTTCAGAGTTTCGATCCTTGCACGACGAGACGGACCGGCGGTGGCGGCAACCGAAGATGCTTTACTTCACCATTTTGGTATGCTCGATCGGTGCCATAGAGCAAGGCTGGGCACAGACCGGCATGAACGGAGCCAATTTATATTTCCCGAAGGCGCTTGGGGTTGGCTCCAATAGCAAGCATGACAACTTCGTGGTGGGCTTGATCAACAGTGCGATATATCTCAGCACAGGGCTTGTTGGCGCTTGGCTCTCAGATCCTGTCAATAGTCGACTCGGGCGGCGTGGTGCGATTTTCACAGGAGCATCGTTGTGCCTAGTCTCAAATCTGGGGTCTTCTCTGAGCAGAACCTGGCCGCAGTTGCTGGTCTCTCGATTTCTGTTGGGCATTGGGCTTGGCCTAGACGCAAGCACCGTGTCTGTCTACGCTGCTGAATGCGCGCCAGCAGGCATCCGGGGAGGTCTTGCAGTATCATGGCAGATGTGGACAGCATTTGGGATATTCCTAGGATTTGTGGCCAATGCTGCAGTCTACCACGTACGTTCCACATCTCAAGGTGTATTGTTCGCGGGCGTTGCTGACTTTACAGTACGGCGATAACGCCTGGCGGTTGCAGCTGGCGGGCCCGTTCATTCCGACCATCCCTCTGCTTAGCATGTTGTACTTCTGCCCCGAATCGCCCGCATGGTATCTGAAGAATGGGACCCGCTATGATCTTGCTTTTCGATCTTTGGTCCGACTCCGGAATACAGAGCTTCAGGCGGCCAAAGAGCTCTACTCAACCTACCGACAACACATTGTCAAGTCGAAATTCGCGGACCCCGAGGAACCCTCCTTCTCACGGAAAATCTTCAATCTATTCACTGTCCCTCGCATCCGACGGGCGACGACGGCTTCGTATGTTGTGATGCTCTCTCAGCAGCTGTGCGGGATCAACATTATCGCATTCTATTCGTCGACAATATTCTCGGATGCCGGCTTCTCCGATTTTGGTGCGCTTTTGGCATCCTGCGTTTTTGGCTTCGTCAACTTCCTGGGCGCCTTTCCTGCCGTATGGACGATGGACACGCTAGGACGGAGGTCGCTTCTGCTATTAACGCTACCGATGATGGCGGTGACAATGTTAGCGACAGGCCTGTCTTTCAACATCCCAGCAGACAACGCGGCACATTTTGGAGTGCTCGTCGGGCTTATTTACCTCTTCTGCGCTCTGTACTCACCAGGAATGGGCCCAGTTCCCAATACTTACTCAGCGGAAGTGTTCCCCCTCTCACATCGAGAGGTGGGAATGAGCTTTGCCGTCGCTACGGCTAATTTCTGGGCAGCCGTGCTGTCGCTGACATTTCCTCGCATTCTTACTACTCTCAAGTCTCAAGGCGCCTTTGCTCTATATGCAGCACTGAATGTGGTGGCAGTGATACTGATCTTCTTTTTACTGCCGGAAACACGACTGAAAACACTCGACGAACTCGATGATGTCTTCTCTATTTCCACAAGGGCATTTGTGAAATACCAGGTCACGGAGTACTTACCCTGGTTCGTGAAGCGGTACATACTGCGTCAGAAGGACGTTGATCTCCGGCCATTGACACATGATGGAGGGTACCTCGAGCTTAGACAAGGTGAAGAGATGGACGGCTGAGACTTGTGTTGAGATCCTAAGCTTCTGGCTTCCTTCGCTGCAGAAATTCGCCGCCTTCCGATAACCAATGCTCGACAGTAGCGCCCCACCGATAAGGAAGCACGGAAACCACCGAAGCGAAAGAAGCTGCGAATCTCATAGCTGCGAGTTCGTTGACTTCGTTGTCGATGACTTCTTTCTGACGTCGGCGTCCTCCGCCAACATTGTTCCTTTTAAGCAGCTTGAACAAGTCAGGAACCCACGGACTGAAGAACTGAAAGACTGAAGACCCTCTATGCAACGCCTGTCCCAGCTGCACAGTCACTGCGCCCCTCGTTCTCACCACGCCATGGCGTCCCCAATCACCTGTCACGTCTTGAACACACTGTCGGGCACTCCAGCGTCCGGCCTGAAAGCTACATTGACGCTTCTGTCGTCCAACAGCAGCTCGAAAACACAGCCGGCTGTGGCATTCACTGCTTCCACAAATGAGGACGGTCGAGTCAAAGAATGGGGACCATCTGCCGGCAAGAGTCTACAGGAAGTCATGGAAGGTTACTCCGCGGGAGAGCGAATCGCTTGGAGCATCAAGTTTGACATTGGCCCTTGGTATGAGGAGAAAGGCGTCGAGAGCTTCTGGCCCGAAGTCGAAGTCAAATTCTACGTCAAAAAGGGCGAGCGGCATTACCATGTCCCCGTGTTGGTTGGCCCATGGACCTACACGACATACAGAGGGTCTTGAGATGCATATATCGACTAGCCATTGAGTCTACTGTCTACCACTAGATGCTCCCAGCGAACAGGGCCTCGCATGCGCCAATCACCAACGCCAATTCCCAGTCGAGAAAGAGATTGCTCCGCAGTTCACACCACCTGTGGGCCCAGAACCTGCATTTTCTCTATGCCCGTAGGTGTCAAGCTGCCACGACTCCAGCCCAAACCGACCTGCATATACATGACTTCCCGGTATGCAACAGGGCAGTCCAACCTGACGGACTTTTGAGGCGCATATCCCCCGCATTCTACACTCTGGTCATGTGCCTCATGTGCCTCATTATGCAACGACGGCTCGGCCGTGGCCCTAGGGCATTAAGACGACATCCCTCCTTGCATGGCTTGGTGTCATTCAGTGGAGAGCTTAGTCCTGTCGCATGCATTATTTGTGCGAATCGTCGTCCACCTGATTCACTCCTCAGCGTCGAGTAACCCAACCGGCCGATAAATTCATGCGGCATTTTGCAGCACGCACAGAGTTTCCCATAGTCTTCTCCAGACTGGGCAGTAGGCCGTGGCGAGTGGTCACCGGTGTCGTTCTCGTCTGTACTGGGACGCAGAAGCATGCGTCGGACTGTGCCGTCGACTTGCACTAATTGACACAATTTCATTGATGTCACAATCGTCGTCGTCGGTGCCGCTGCTGGCTCGGTTGGACATCCGCATCGTCTGCTGCCGCTCATACTGCTCCGATTGCCGTTTGAGATCCTCGATTTGCTCCTGTAACATCATCAGTTCCATTCACCTCATCATGCTTCAGCTGGCTTACCTTGGTCAATTGCGGCCCGTTGATCAGAAAACCTTCCCGTCCCTGGTCCGGGTCAGCCAGCACACTTCCATGGTTGTGTTGGTTGTCATACATGGTATGAGTATGGTCTCACGGTGGCGCCTGGGCCTAGGAAGTATTGGAGCTGTCGAAGTACAATATGGCGGGATAGACCGTAGCCTGATATCCAGTAGTCGTTTGCAGGGCTGATCGATTGTGGCATGTCGGGCGAAGGGACTGCACAGCAGTCATAAACGTATAAAGAGGGTTAGGGTAGTGGTGCCGATAATGTCGCACTCTGATTCTGTGTTGCTCTTCAAGTGAGGATGTCGCCGTGGTAGAGTCAGATGCACTCATGGAGAGAGCCTCCGGCAAGATATAGAACTCCTACGGAGAGGGACGCAGGTCGAAGCGATTCGCCAATGGCCTTCCCCTGTGCCATCGCAGCACGGACGTTGAATTGCAGCAGCTCGATTTGGCTTGGGACAGCATTGCATTCGTTCCAAGCGACATCAGTGTTGACAGTGGTTGCCTCGAGAAGGCTCCCCACACACCTACGGCGGCTTGTCCACGAGTGACGCCCCCCTCCAAGTCGGCACGGAGCAGCGGCCAATCAGAGCAGCCGACGTCAGCCGACGTCAGCCGCCCTGCCAAATGGGGCCAACGCCTTCATTCTCGCCTCACTTTGAGCATCCCTGCTCTGTCGTCTCAACCATTCCTTACCTTACCTTCGCACTCCTCTGCGTCCACTGCCATCGTCCAACGGGCCCTCGAAGCCAGCGCTACTCAGGCGCCCGCTCAACTTTATCTTGCCTTTGAGGCTGTTGTATCGCGCCAGTGCTGCACACGTGTTGTCAAGCGCTGTTCAGCATCCCTTTGGATGCTTCTTCACAGTGGCAACATAATGAAGGTCGGTCCCTCCGGCTGTTGATCTTCCTTCCGTCGTACGTGCCCGACAGCAACCGCCAGGTATTGACGGAGAAACGCTGATCGAGAATGCACGCAATCACCTGCAGTGCGAGGCGAACCCGGCGCCGGCGACTGTGGACTGCGGCAAGGTCGAACTTTGGCAGACAATAGTCTCCTGAGTCCATCTGCACCATGCAATGCCATGCAGGAGTCGAATTCGAGCAAAGCGCGATTTCCACACCGCTCAAGGTCACCAATCTCTTGTCGGAGAACAGACTCCCCTCGACGGATGACTTGAGTCTCCGTCGTTTCTTGTTCGCACACGTGGAAGGTGGTACAAACTGGCCCAACCTATCCGTCCCCTCGAGCGACTACACTTCTAGCTGTGGCGGAGACTTCAGGCACACTTCCATCTGACAGGCGGAATCCAGACCAATCGTGCTCCAACCGTCGCACAAATGCAGCGTCTACCGACCTTTCATAGGTGGCAAAGCTCTTGCCAACAGCATTCTTCGATGCAAGTGGACTAATTCTTGAGGATTCACTCGTCCCACCATGAATACACGACTGGGAGAATTGGCTGTGCCAGTGCTAAATGGCGGCATTTCTGGGCTTGTCACATGGAGCACGATTGTTGATGATCAACTGCTTGGCGATTTCACTCCTCGATTCTTCAGGACCTCACTGGCGATCTTCTTTGCGTTCCCTGCCGCGAATGGATTGCTCAACTGAAGAACTGTGCCTCGATTATGAAGAGCAGCAAGCAAAGTAGGAATGGCTGCCATAGTGGTATTCCTGGCGTGATCGCCACGTACTCGCATTCGTCCTGGGAATCGTTCCTGATAGCTCTACTCGTACCCTGGAGATCCGAATATCTTGTCTGAAGGAGCCAATCCTCCCCTGCTACCCCAGGAACGACAATTTCGAAGCGGCTAGTGCTGTTCCAAGCCTGTGGACTGGTTGCAGGGCATCCCTGGCATAGGCCCGATCGCCGCACCAATCAGAAATTGCGAGGCTGCCGGCGATCATGGCCCTCTTTAGCACACGCCGACCCAAACTCGGATGGGAAGCAAGATTCTTGGGAAAGATGCTTTCCAGCAACTCAACGACTGCCGTACAGTGATAGGCATGATCGACGCTGCTTAAACTCATAGCTCCTTGTGCGAACGCTCTCGCATGAACTCGTTCCGCCGATCAAACCGATGTACGACAAGCTTCCCTCTGAGGCCCGACACTCAGTATTCAAGCGTGCTCACCTACCAACTTCTCCTCATGCCGAAAGTAGCTGACAATGAGCAAGAGATCTGCACAGCTGAGCGCGAATATACCCGTCTCTACCCGCAGACTCCGGATCCTACCGGCTCGCAGGAGTGCCGTGGATTACCAACACCTTGGCCACACCCTTACGATGTCTAGTCTTTCGACCATCGACCCCTTAAAGTGTCAGCCTGATCTGTCCCTGCCTCACTTTCTCTTGATCGACAACATCGCACTCAAGTTCAGCCAGTCGGCAACCATGGTAGGAGCGACTTCGTCAAACTTACCGGATAATCCATGAATCGGCTATTCGTGAATACCAATCGCCCAAGTACCGGACCAAAAGTGAAACTACTTGCCGGGCTTTAGGTGATGCAATTGGAACGTGCAACGAAAAGCACCTCTGGGCCACAGATGCCAGCCTCCAAAGTGGTGGTTGTGGGACTGCCTGGGCGCGTACAGGTATCGATGCTTGGAACGCGGCATTCAAGAGACCTTAAAATATGGGGAGACTTGGGTCAGTGAAGCTCAAGCCAATGAAGTCTCGATCCGGCCTTGAATATCACCTGAGTGGTAAGCCCTCGCTACAAGGAGTCCCTAACGAGCCGCCACAGCATCGCACGTACCCCAACTGAACGAGAAAACCACGGCCCAAGGGCCAGTGCCTTCACGTGCTAACTAGCCCAAGGCTCACCCTGTTGCAACTAGTGGGACCAAGTCACTTCTCTTCACCTCCTACCTATCCCCCAAGCAGTAAACGGACCTATGTTCGCCGACCCATCTATGACATCCGATTACATAGGTCTCCCCGAGCAAGAACAGCATCGGATGCGGACACCGGAGAGCCGTCGCCCAGGGAGCGACGGACGGCTTACCAGACACAGGACGACTGCAAAGACCCATCTTTAGCCTCGCCGTGCCTGTCGTCTACACCTCTCTGTCCCGGAAAGCCACTTGTAAAACCATTGTTTTTAAGGTCGAGGGCCATCACCCGACCAATCAAGCCACCCACTCCAGCTAGAGGATCGAACCACTCACTCCCCTCTCGTCAAAGTGGTGCGCGACCAAGCAGTCTGTCCTATCAAGTGTGCCAGCCACCTCACTCTGATGTTGGGAACCGAGCCAACCCGCGTCCACAATATCCATACTGAGTACGTCCTTATCAGCTCATTAGCGCGTCTGCCGTCAAGATGGAACGAGAATCGTCCACCATGCCCTGGCGCAGTTTCACCACAGTCAAGTCACTCACTCACTCACTCACTTCACCCCACCCCGAGTGTTGAGAACTCGTCACGGAGAGTCGTCAAATGTATGTAAGTGTTCTGTGTGGGTGGGTGGCTTGGTGACAGATAGCTTGAGACCCATCTAAACAGTCGGCCCCAGCCAGGGGGCCAGCCAGCCAGCTAAACCCCCCTACGCTTTCGCATAGACAACCACCTTCTCCGATGCATCACTTTGGCATAAAGTTATCTGCCTCGTGCCGAACTTGGCTTTACAGCTTCACTCATCGCCAGAGACCGCCGCTCCATGCATCCAGCAGAGTGCTTCATACCCCACCCACCGGCCGCGTGGGTAGGAGACTGCTAACTGGGAACCGGGGGCACCATATTCAGGATTGGACGCTAAATTACAGGAATCCAACTACCAGGACTTCACCTGAACGCGCTTACAGGACGAAATCCGAAAGAAAATAAATGGGGAGACCAAGGCACAGGGGAAGCAGCATCAGCAGTTGATCGAAATCGGTCCATGCTCATTGATTGTACTAAGCTCTCTGTCTGCGTGGTGTAAACCTCAAGCAAAGATCGAACGACCGCCCGCCCTGTTTATGGCGAGATCGCATCGTTGATCCACCTTGCCATGCCTGGAGAGCACACCAGATTCGGAAAAGACTGTGTCTGTCTGCCATGAGCTTTCTGTCAAGCTGGGACAATCGACTCCACCAGCGAGCGAGCAGGCGAGTGAGTCCGTGCCGTCCAACCATCGAAAGAGCCAAATAAGTGAATGTCTTTTCAGCGCCTTGTTCCCATTCCTGCCCCCGGGACTGCCACATTAGCCTCTAAAGTGAGGCTGCGCGACAGGAAGAGCCGAGAACGGCATGTTGCCTCGGCGCCGACGCTCATCCCCAAAACCACCCAGAGAATGAATGTACACAAAACGACCGACGTAAAGCCATTACCAGCGTGACATTGTCGAAATACACAGTCCCAGCCCATTTGTCAATCCTTCCCAAAAGTTCCCAGGTTGCTCCGATATCCCTTCGTTCCAATTCGTTCATCCATTGCCAGACTATATTTACATAGGTTGCTTCGTCTTCGAAAGATCGTCGGTGGCCCCTAAAGCGTGCCTGCTACCTTCCGAAAGCCTATATCGCCTCTCACATGAAGAAGTCTTGCGCTGTCGTCGGGTCAATCAGTTCGAGGTTGCCGTAGTCCAAGAAGTTGTCAAAATCATTTCTCTCATGCTGCTCAATCTTCATGGGAAGTTGCGGTGCTTGCAAGGCCCCAGAGGAATGAGGAGGCAGTTCTGAGAAGTCGAATGCCACAGCGTCAGCCGCAGGCGACGAACTGGAATGCGATAGACCCGGCAGATCATGCTCAGGAAAGCCACCGAGGCCTGTCGCCACCAGAGGTAGAGCTTGGTCCATCTCAGGAAGATCTGGGAGCATGCTCGACACCTCGGCCATCTCAGCAGGCGTCAGCTCGCGGTAGGATGGGCTGGGTTTGTTTCCTGTTGAGTACCCTGGGCTGTGGGGTGGAGTGAACGAGAACGTGTCCGGGGGGAAGCCCATCACCTGATCCATGGCCAGAGTGTTGTGCTGTGGCATGCTGAAAAGCCCCATGGACTCAAATGGCGAGCTATCACGAATGCTGAGATTGTCCATGGTGTCAGTTGGTGGCGAGCCCCAGCTAGAGATAGAACAGCTCGACGCCGAAGATGCGTAATAGTCCTGTTGCGGCTCGCTGTTATTCTTCCTGGTTCGACTGGCCTTGTCAAGGCGCTCATCCATCTCTGGCCGGTGTTTCCTTGGCCGCCCTCGCTTGATCACCTTCTTGACCACGCCCTCGAAGGCACCAATGCACATTCCTCTCTGTCGGTGCCTCGTCAAAGCGTCATGGCGAGCGAATGAGTTTCCACAGAGACAGGGGTATGGCTTGCTACCAGTATGGATCTTGGCGTGGCGTTTGAGGTCATGGCCCCGAACAAAACATTTCTTGCAGTGGTCGCACCTGAACTGGCGATCACCAAGATGGGTCTGAACGTGAGATTTGATATTCTCTTTCCGACCAAATTTCTTGTTGCAGTCATCAAACTTGCAAACCCACTTGTTGTCCACTGGATCTGGGCCCTCGATATATTGCGCGATGTCGTCGAGGGTTATGTTGGTCTCTTCAATCGATGCCTCGATACCCGGCTCTAGGTGCAGGTCCGAGATCGACATGCGGCGTGGGGAGAGCGCTGGCCTGCTGGGAGAAGTGCTGCCCGCAGCATCCTTCTTGGCTGATAGGACGGGCACAGGCTGGTCTTCGAGCTTTGGTGCTTGAAAGTCGCAGATATCACCTTTTTCGGGACTTGATTCCAGTTTAAACTTTGTTGCCTCTGTTTGTTGACTTGATGGTGGAGTCTGAGCTCGTCGACGAGGGCTTGGTACAGGCATCTCAGCCATTTCAAAAGCCGGCGCAACTGGGGTCGCTGGGAGTTCGTGCTTGAACTCTTCCTGCTCTATGATGCCTTGCAACGACCTACCTCGGGTCATCGGCACCGGGTATGGTGATTGAAGAGCAGGTGACGCTTGTAATGAACGTGAGTACTGTATTGGCTGGTTGTGTTGGCTGAAGGGCGGTGTAAGTGGAAATTGTGCTGATGAGCAGTTAGCCAGGGTCTCGAGCGTTTCCCGTACTGATCAGTACTCACCAGTCTGAATTTGTTGTGAAGGTGTGTGAGGTCGCAACTGGGTCTGTACCCGCAGATCCGGTTGCGACATCCTCCGGCTGTCGAAGGAGATGCCAGTACTTTGCTGAAACTGGGGACCTTGAGCATCATGGAAATATTGAGGGTTATTCTCATCCATGAGGCCTATCGGCATCCCGTTCTGCATCGACATATTCATATCGCTGAAGTACTGCTGCGAATGCTGGAAGTCCATGCCTGGGGAATTCTGATGCATGATCGCATTCATTGTCATATTGTCGTAGGGTGACGCTGGAATTGAGTTGGACGTCACTTGAAACATACCACAATCAGGAGAATTGGGCATGCCAATGTGCATGTTTTGTTGTTGGTGTTGCTGGCCCGGTCTTGCTATTCTTTGCTGCTGCGCTTCCCGCAAAATCTGTTGTCCGTGGATTGATCCTAGGTTAGTCATACTTACCGTGCTGCCTTGCTGCTGTTTCCGGATGGGGCTTCGTTGTAAATCGAAAGATTGGCCCCGTCTGTGGATGTTGTGGCGTGGTTGTTGAGGCATGCTGGCGGAGACCTTCATGGCTTCGAAGGCTACAACGGGTGTCGAGTTCTGTCTCCGATGTAGCCTTTGTCGTTGCTGAAGAGATGAAGGTGGATTGGACATCATGATTGGCGAGATGAGTTCGAAATGTCGTCTTGTCGAAGGGTTGGTCGTTGTACGAATTGTCGAAATATGGATCCTTCAGTGGTTCGAGACTGCGCAAAATGCAAACGTTAGCCTCTCGTAGCATGGCCAGAAGTGGTTTCTCCCGTCTCGGACTCACCTCACGCAGCGCAATGGGCTGCGGACCGGGCAGCGGTCTTGTGTTATATAGCTTTCACCAGCCGCAGGAGATTCCTGACGACTTTCTTTTTCAGAGAAGGGCCCTCTCGGGCAGGTATAGTTGGGAGATCAGAACTGGATCCCGAGAGGCTTCTCGATTGACGGGTATGTAGGTCTCTTAGGTCTGGGAGTGTAGAGGTTTGTTCTTGCGGGTTGGTATGGGATGGGAGGAGGATGGAGGATCAAAATGAACTGCGAGTGCAGGGTTCAAAGTAAGTCATCGCTGCGAAGAAGTGGTGGCTCAGTCAACAGAGGCGTTCGATGCGTCGTCGGCACAGCAACGAGATCGTAGGTTGGGATCTGGAGGCGCGTCACGGGCGGCAATTTACCCGAGCGCCGAGCGCGTTCGCTAAGCATCAGCTGATTGGATCAGGTGCTCGTTGACAGCTGATAGCCTGGCTCGCCTGGACAAGCCTACGTAATTGGGGCAGACTCATCCCCACGAACACCCCAACTCGCCCACTACGCCCCCGATTGAGGCCCATTCTCGTCCTTGCTTTGAAGATCGCCTCTGGACTTTATTATTCCCACGTCGTTACTGCCGTGTTCGCCCAACACTACGAGAGTTTCGTCTTCCCCTGGTAACGCAGGCTCATGAAGTTTAATTCTGACAAAACACAGTCAATGGCACACGACTAGTAAGCAAAAAGCACATGCGATGAGAAATGGATGTGCACGACTTGCGCATGGTGGCACCTCCGATTAATTCAGGCTTGCTGATTCTCGAGCGTCTCACAGAGTCACTCTCGTCATATTGGAATGCCTTGACGCCGTCGGAGCTGGGATTGCTGGATAGATTGTGCGCTGAGATGGCTGAAAGCTCAAGTTCTGACGAAGTCATCTCGGACTGACAAGAACTTGTGCTCGGTACTATCGACGTGGCCCTGGCTTTTGTTTGACCGAGAGAGAAATACCCTTTCATTCGATCAAACTCAATCTCATCGCTGGTACCAGTTATCGTGGCCAATCTCTACTGCCTGTCCTACCTATTACGATGTCGCCGGATCGAGCTGATATGCACAAGCCGAATGGAGCTCCCGCAGACTCACGCTTGAACAAGGTTTGGTATGATGGCTGACGCGTTAGGCCGAGGTGTTGTCCCTCCGGTGCAGGAGGCACATGAAGCAGAATTGTTCATCTGGCTATCTAAACAAAACGTCCCAGAACAGGTTTCTTAGGCCCATCCTGTCGACTTTTTCGGTACTTCGGATACGCTTCGCGGGTTTTCACCTTACGAATGATCGCTCAATGACCACCTCGCTTCACCTTGCGGCCGACACCAAGTCATAGGGCTTCCTCACAATATGCTTCTCAACAACATCGGATTCGAGTTCTACCGAGCTCACCTTGTCCGCCGTAGTGACTCAGTCGCCGACACCCCAACCTGGCAGGTTTGACTCTTGCCGCTGTCGCGCCTGCCTGAATGACGGTCTCTAGCAAGCTACGCTTCAGGCCCCTGGAAATATCGTCGCCTAGCTACGATTTATGTTGGCTCCTTGACTCCGACCTGCAATTCGAGATGTATTCCCTCCGCGTGCCTCAACCTCCTCCGTCTTTGGGGGGGCGTTCTTGAAGATGAGAATCGATGCGAAAATGATATCCTGGTCTATACGAATTGCATGTTTGCTGCAACTATTGACTGCATTCGCACCAACTGATCTCTGCTACACAGTACGCGAGCAAGGCCGTCACTGCTTGTTCAATCAAGGTGGCCTCCAAGCGATGAGGATACTTCCAGGTCCACCTAATCTTATGTGAGTACGCTGCATGACCCTAAAATATGGCACCGTCGCAGCATTCGATTTCGAGAAAATAGCATCGACATTACTCCGTAGAACATTTGGATATGCGTTGAGGGCGAGAAACGACGCGTAGAGGGCGCGCCACTTAGAAAGTCACGTGTGCGATAAGTTAAAAGGCAATGATGATTGCATAACATGGCAAAATTGCCAAGCCCCCACAGGAACTTTTGAATTTCTCTTCGATGTCGTCTGCAACTGTTCTGCTCCAACCACCATCTTGCATCTCGAGGATTGAGGAAGACAGATTGCTGTCGAGGTAGGCTTTCCTATCTTCCACATTCCCGACTCTAGCTAACAATACTGTCAGATCCTTTGCACCTTCCTTTTCCCTCTTACTCCCAAACCACTCTCAGACCTCCACCATCACTAGGTCCTGTACTCCCGCCAGTATGCAAATCTTCGTCAAAACCCTGACTGGCAAGACCATCACTCTTGAGGTTGAGTCCAGCGACACCATCGACAATGTCAAGTCCAAGATCCAAGGTAGGTGGCATCGCGAAAGGCCCGCGCATCGTCGCAGAACACTAACACTGCTTCCAGACAAGGAAGGGATCCCTCCCGACCAGCAGCGCCTGATCTTCGCCGGCAAGCAACTCGAAGACGGCCGCACGCTTTCCGACTACAACATCCAGAAGGAGTCGACCCTTCACCTGGTCCTGCGTCTCCGAGGCGGTGCCAAGAAGCGCAAGAAGAAGGTGTACACCACGCCCAAGAAGATCAAGCACAAGCGCAAGAAGACCAAGTTGGCCGTGCTCAAGTACTACAAGGTCGACGGCGACGGCAAGATCGAGCGATTGAGACGCGAGTGTCCCACCAAGGAGTGCGGTGCCGGTGTTTTCATGGCGGCTATGCACAACCGACAGTACTGTGGAAGATGTCACTTGACTTATGTCTTTGATGAGTCCAAGTAGATTGAAGCAATGCAGGCAAAGGGGTGATGTGCTTCAAAAATGGAACAGCCTACCCAGCTCCGTCTCAAAGGATGCTAGGTGAATGCAGATAGCAGGCCGCATGGTGGGCACGATAGAGCAGATCAAAGAGCAGCAGAATCAATCTCTGTCTACAGCTTCACCTTTGCATGTCTCTGGCTCTATTGCGACCGTTCAATCATTCCTCAGGTATTTTCTTTTCTGATTTATTTTGCCGACCCAACAGAGCGGCTTTTCGCATCGGCCGCAGAGTTAGTTCGTGACTCGTACTGTGCTTAGAGTGCCAGTAACAACCTGGGTGGGGAGCAGAAGAACCAAATGCTGACCAATCGCGTCACCCCCCACATTCAACCATCCACGCGCGTTATCGATAGCGCATTGTTTACGAGGACTCCGTACTCGGTGCTCATTGTCATGCAGAATCCCGCCGAACCACAGCATTAATGCTACAGAGGACACAACAGATTCACATATACGAACCAAATACCGACTTGGTGGCCACGATGGATCTAGAACCAACGCTCCACCCACATCCGCTCCCAGACTCACACCACCGCAAAATCGAACTGCAATCCGCCCAAGATCTCACGTATCTGCAATCCAACCTGATCGCCTCGGCGCGCCAGAGACTCGATCTACATTTCCCTCCTTCGGCGGCACAACGACAGCCGAAGAAAGCGCAGCCCGCGACGGTAATATCGCTCGACGGGGTGAAACCCACCACAACTCAAGACTCACAACCTACACAACAATCAGTAACCGCGACCGGCGATGCGGGCGAGGGCGAGAGCGAGGAACACGAGGATCCCATGCGCGCCGCCGTCCGCGCGTACGTCGACGCCTTCATCTCGCGCATCTACTCCTCGGCCTCTCACTCCATGACGGTCAACGGCCTGGACGTGACGTCTCTCCCGCCCACGATCTTGACCACCCAACACCCCGCCCCGGTCTCAGCCGACGACGCGCCGGGCTCGAGCGGGGCCTCAAAGGAAGAAAGAGAAGGCGTGGATTTCATTTACGAGGCGCATGATACGCGCCTCCAGGAGAAGGTCGCGAATATGTATGCCGAGTTGGAAAGTCTGACGGTGCAGGTTGGACAGTTGAGACGGAGGGCACCAAAACACGGGGCCGAGGCATTCGGACGACTGTGCAACGAGATAATCGGAGGAGAAGATGAGCATTTTGAGAGGGCAGTCGCCGCGTCAAAGCAGGAAGCGGCGGCGGCGGAAAGTGACGGGGTAGGCGTGTTGAAGCTGAATCCACTGCCGGATGGGTGGTTCGAAGATCGCAGGGCCATGTACGAGCGTGGCACGAATGGACTTGCGGCTCTTGCTGGGTTGGCAGGGCGGCGTGTGGACGGGTCCGCCTCCGCCTCCATCTCCGCCGGCAATGGGCCGAGTCTGACGGAGACGGTGGGTAGAGTCCAGCGGGCAAGGACTGTGGCTATGGAGTTCGAGTGAGACGCGAAACGGGGGACTACGATGAAGTCAGCATGAACGGCAAAACGGTTATACGAAGGCGTCGAGTAGGCGAGTGCCACCGCTGCGAGTGGGAGCATCGTGTGCCCACAACGTCGCTCCCGATGAGCGACGAAACTACAACATTGGTGGTCAAACCGGCCAGCAAGTGGTACTTGGCAACCCGGTATGCCTCGCGTAGGAAATAAGTCTGGCGATACCTTCAATATCTGACAGTGGAATCGAACCCCCTGCTATCGATTCGGATCGGCGGCAGGGTATATATGAAACCAGCATCAGTGCCTGTGGCACCTTATTTACGGCGTACGGACAATATCAGTCTGCTGCCGACATCTCTCCAGGCAACCTGTCTAAGGGAAATATGTATGTGTGGAACTGCTGGAGGGAACCGGTCGCAGACGGCGGGATAACGTGCCAATACGTGCACGCTGATAGCGATTGGATAGAATTCTCGAGGATGATTGCTCCAGGAGTCAGATCGTTCGATCAAATGCATATGCGGGCCAACGACCACCTCCGTCCTGTGGCGCTGCGACCTAAGCCTTCTGTTTCTTCGACCGCCGACACAACCAGATCTTTTCCATGTCTTTATCGTCACTCGGTAGTGTGAGGCACCTCGCGGTTCTGGACATGCTTCTAATTCTTCCCTGACCCTGCCGTCCCAAACCCTGTTGCCTGTGCATCCTCCAAGGGCATCTTCGGTCCTTCAGAAGGCACATTTTCGGCTTGCGCAGGCGCTGAAGCTGGAGCGGGTTCTGGCTTTGTTACTGGGTCCTGGGCACCATCTCCTGGAGCCGGTTGGACCGTATTGTTGGCTTCCTTGTCGGTAACGGGATCGTTCCTCGCCCATTTCGGAGGCTTTGCATATGCGGGATCTTGCCAGGGACCTTCATCGCTGAATTGACATCCGCCTTCGCACTCGCAGGTGCCACCAAACTCCTTCGGAAGATTTTCTGCGGGAACCTGAGCGAGCAGTTCCTTCTGGTAACCTGAACCGAGGACGTGGATTTTGGCGACGGTGATAGGGTCGAGGAAGGATTTGACAAAACTGAAGACGCTGCTGAAACCCCATGGAGCATTGATGATGTACAGTTTGCCCAATCGCTCCGGATAGTAGTCCTGCGAGATGGCGCTGACAGACTTGAGGTAGCCGTAGACCGAAGGAATTCTGCCCACCCCCACACCCTTCATGTCCATGATGGTGCAGCATGTCTCGAGAAGCTTGCCTGCCTTCCGCGAGCAAGCGGGCAGTCGCGGATCGGCCACTTTCTCGTACTCAACAACCAGATTCTGAACCATGCGCTCTGCAGTGGAGATTTTGTACATGGCGTTCAAATCAATCTTGCCATACTGTTCGATATAGACGGGGCGGCCGTCCTGCATGCGCTGTCAGTAATCCCAGCAATCCTTTGTTTAAATCTGATATTTTCCCACCTTGTCAGTTTTGTGATAGTACTGCGGGTAGTATTCAAACATCTGCGGTCTCTCCTTGTAGTCAAAGGTTCGAACCAGGTCGTCGGTACCGAATTCTTTCCGCCACTGCTCGTTCTTGACAAACCTGTGGCACCGTTAGTACCTTGCCACGAAGTGACAGTGGATGGTCGCACATTGCCTTGGCATTCTCGACGTTGAATTTGCGTGCTCTCAAGAAGCGTAGCAATGTCAAGGTGTCCAATCGGGCCGTGTAGCCTTCCTTCTCGAGAAGGGCTCGCAGTTGGTGGACTTGGGCATTTTGTTCCTTGGTGGTGTGGCCGGGATGACCTGACTGATTCTCTGGGGCAGTGGTAGGGAAGTCGTAATCGTCATATTTCGGATCCAGCTCCATAGGGGGATTTTCTCCCGTCGTCGACATGGTGAGAGCGTGGGGGGCACGAATTCGTGGCGGTCAAAGTCTTCTCCTGTGCAGAGATGCGCAGGACCGAAGGAAGGGGGCGACTGTAGCAACAGGGAAATAGAGTCTGCTCCAGACTCACGGGGCGAAGTCTACCTCTTATTACAGATCGAGAATGGGAATAGCAATAGCCAGCAACGAGGGATGTGAAGGCACGGGCGTAGGTGTTAGGTCGTTGATTTGTTCCCTCCAGGCGATATGACGTACCCGCAGTTTCTGCCCTTGCTGCCCCTGCGCTTGCCCTTAGCGACGCCCACGCTCAACACGGGCAAACAAATAATTTTCCCTCCAGCGACGGCAGCCAGTCACATCTCCCACTAATCGGCACTGGCACTGTGAATGTCCAGTCTTGCTTGGCAGCGAAACTCGGCAGTGCGTGGAGGATTAACAGACGGGACGCTGCTCCCGAATCTTGACTGACCATTCACAGGTCCTAAATGTGACTCACCTCCTGTCCACCAAGAGAATTCACGCAAGGCTCGAATCACGCGCATGAGAAATATCCTCCGCTGTTGCTGGACAAATTCATTCACAAGGTCGCGCAGCAGAGAAGCCCTCCTGCCTGGACTATGCCATTACAGCGTGCCCTAGCTGTCGAGATCCAGGTTGTAGCGCGATCCATTCAAGCATAACAGAAGCTGCGCCACGGAAATCCAATATGGCGCCCAAAGGCCAGAAGGCTGTTGCGGGCAAAGGCAGATCGAGCGACGACACCAAGGAGGACCCTCTTCAAGCAGTCATTGTTGCCGACACTTTTGAGACCAGATTCGCACCATTCACCTTGGAGAGACCGCGGTGTCTGCTGACGCTGGCCAACACCCCTTTGATCGAGTATACCCTCGAGTACCTGGCAAGTGCTGGAGTTCAGGTAGTCTACATCTATGCTGGTGCGCATGTGGACCAAGTAGAGGCATTCATTGAGACCTCCCGGTGGAAGTCACAGCAGTCCCCTTTCGAGAGTGTCACATTTCTCAGGTGTCTCGCAAGCTCGGTGGGCGACATCATGAGGGATCTAGACCAGAAACATTTGATGGTTGGCGATTTTCTCGTCGTTAGTGGTGATATTATCTCGAATTTCCCCATCCAAAAAGCTTTGCGACAACACAAAACCCGCCGAGAAAAGGACAAGAATGCCATCATGACCATGATCTTGAGGGAGGCCGAAGCAGGAATCCATGACCATAGCGGTGGCGTCGTGCCCACATTCGTACTGGACCCGACCAAGGAAAGATGTCTACATTATGAAGAGGCCTTCCCAGGCACTCAATTTACGTCGCATATTGACCCAGAACTCCTGAAGATCCCAGAGCTCGAGATCCGACAAGACCTTGTTGACTGCCGAATCGATATATGCACTCCGGATGTGCTCAGTCTGTGGTCAGATAACTTCGACAATCAAACGCCGCGCAAGGACTTTCTATTTGGTGTGCTCAAGGACTGGGAATTGAATGGAAAGACAATCCACACATATATTGTCCAAGAAGACTACGCCGCTCGGGTTGCTGACTTCTGGTCGTACAACATCATCTCCCAGGACTTGAAAGCGGGCATCGTCACGTCAATAGCGGTCGAAAACAACGCTTTTGGCAACACACACTACCGCCGCTCCCAGAACGGAGTCATTGTGGATGGACAGGTAATTGCAGCAAGGCATACGAAGCTCGACTCGGGCTCCATTGTAGGGCCGGAAGCCTCTGTTGGACGAGGATCAGAGATCAGAAACAGCGTGCTCGGTGAACGGTGCCATATCGGCAAGAATACGAAAATCGACAAGTCCTACATTTGGGACGATGTCTCTATCGGCAACAACGTCAAGATTTCGCGAGCGATTGTCGGAAACGAGGCTTTCATCGGGGATAACTCTGTCATTGAGGAGGGCAGCCTGATCTCGTTCGGCGTTAGGATCGCCCCAGGCACGACTGTCAGAACTGGTTCGAGAATATGCCGAACCCAGCCAGGAATTGATCGTGAATCGAAGAATGACGCCTTCATAGTTGGTGATGCGGGAGAGGGCCAAGCTTATGCCGACGACGAGGAGGACTATCTGAGTTCAAGATTATCAAGGCTCATTTACGAAAAGCCCGAATTTGCAGACTCGATCTCCACCTTGGAGTCTGATCTTTCCTCTGACGAGGTCTCATCTCTGGGCGGATCGAGAAGTCAGAGCTTCGGAGACGAGTCTACTGACCGATTCCAACATGACACTGTTGCCATCCTGGTCCAACGAATGCAGGAAGGAAAGCACGCAGATGACATGCTTAGTGAACTGATGGGTCTTCGGTTTAGCGGAGGAGCAGATGAGACACAAGTACGCCGAGCAGTGGCCGTCGCGCTGATGAAACATATCCACAGCGAAATCGAGAATGGCGTGGCTGCCGCCGATGCGACCAGACGAGTGCTAACGGCATACAACACGCTCATCCGCCGGAAGGGAGCAGCACAGACGACCGATGAGCAAGCGGCATTCTTGCTTGATGCACAAAGAGATTTGACTCGAAGGAAAGATGGCGGCAAGACGCTTCTATTCGTGGCCAAGGACCTCTATGATCTCGAGGTATTTCCCGAAGAAGCATTCACCGAATGGTGGGAAGACGAGAGGTCGAGTAACGAGCCAGAAATGGCGGAAGTGCGGAAGCCAAGTTCACAGTTTATCGAGTGGCTCGAAAACGCTGAAAGCGAGAGTGACAGTGAGGAAGAGGACGATGATGAGTAAATGCTGCTGCACAGTGGTCAGGAATCACTGATACGCTCTCAAGAAGCGAAGCCTAGGCCGAGCAGCCTGGTCCCTCTCCGGCTGGGAGCCGTGCGAACGTAGCCTCGCCACCATCGTGCACGCGTCCATAGAGCACTCCGGAGCGTCCAGATGAATACGAGTATGTCACCATGCTGCGAGGCTCACAAACATCGTGAAGGCGCTGCAGGGCAGGGTCCGGATGGCACGGAGGGGCAACAGTAGGAAAGAAGTCGGGCCTTGGATGATGCAGTCAGAAAGCTACAGGGAACGGAGCCGGAGCCGGACGATCACGTGGATAGAATATGACGATAGACGGGCCTGAACATGCTTCGACTGGGTTAGTGGCAGCACGCCACC